GTCCTTATCATCATGATACTATTGTTTCTATTTGGGGCACGCTGTCATTATCATCATGATATTATTGGTGCCCAGTGGGGAAACCTTATGATACCATTGTATGATATCATTGTGTTTCTGTTTCTTGGGGGGGCTTTTTCCCCGCCGGGGACCTACTACTACTACTACTACTACTACTAGTAGGCATACTTTTGGTATTTGACCACTCTCTTTTGTGTGCTTCCTTGACTGAGTATGACAGCCCCCATGCACATTCTCACTGTTATTTACAGCATGTCCTGTTTACAGAATCTGTTATTTGCTTGTTTATCCTCTTCCAGTTGCCAGTCAGGAGTTTTCGGTTTTTTTTTGCAGTGTTGCGGTCGAAGCAGAACAAAGTACTGGTACTTGCAGCACATTTGGCCGTTGGCGCGTTTTCTGAAAGTCTGCTTTTTCTTCACATTTTAAGAACTTTGTTTTTGTGCCCCTGGACGAATTCACTGGTATTTGCAGGGTTTCGTAACTTTTTCCAGCTTGAACTATTTTGGCCAAAACGCGCTGTTAGATTTTTACGGATTTTGACAGGTTTTGATAGCCTTCTGTTTGGGGGGGATAATTTCGCCCATAAGGACTTGAGGCATGGGAAGTTAGAACGGATTTTAGGCACAGCAAGCTCCGAAGGAAAACCTTTCGCACCATCACAAACTGTAGTCCTTGACATGTACTGGAACATGCATTATTGACATATGGAAGACTCAGTAAATACGCCCATAAGGACTTGAGGCATGCGAAGTTAGAAAGGATTTTTGGCACAGCAAGCTCCGAAATAAAACCTCTCGCACCTTCACAAACTGTAGTCCTTGACATGGCCTGACCTTGAAACCTTCAATAGTATATGTCAAACATTATTGGGCCCCTTTGCTACCCTTAAAATCCTCAATAGTGTAAGTCAAGTATTATTGGGCCCCTTTGCTATCCTCCATATCCTGAATAGTATAGATAGTATAGGTCAAAAATTATTGGGCTCCTTTGCTACCGGTATCCTTCAAACCCTAAATAGTGAAGGTCAAATATTATTGGCCCCTTTGCTCTCCTCCAAACCCCGAGTAGTGGTGGTCGATTGTTATTAGGCCCGTTTGGCTTCCTCCAAATCCCAAATGGTATAGGTCAAGTATTATTGGGCTCCTTTGCTATCCTCCAAATCCTGAATAGTATAGGTCAAGTATTTTTGGGCTCCTTTGCTATCCTCCAAATCCCGAATAGTATAGGTCAAGTATTATTAGGCCCCTTTGCCATCCTCCGAATCCTGAATAGTGTAGGTCAAGTGTTATTGGGCCCCTTTGCTCTCCTCCAAACCCCGAATAGTATTGGTCCAGTATTATTAGGCCCCCTTGGCTTCCTCCAAATCCCGAATGGTATAAAGTCGGGATAGCCTTCAAGCTCTGAATGCCAAGAGGCTGTACGCATTTTCGGCCTCTTCGCTAAACTGCTAAAAATCCTCAATGAGACTCGTCAAAACATATGTTGGGGAATGCGGTTTGTGAGAGTGCGTAAAGTTTGGCTTCGGCGCTTGCTGTGCCTTAAACCGTCATGGACATGGACGTAAATCACACCCCCAAAAAAAATATTCAAAACGTGCAGAAACGCAAGATGCACTGTAGAACGTGGGTCATGTGAAGAAGACGGCTTCCCAAATCAACGAAGTGCCGCTCAGTGACTTTTCTGTAAATGCAGCGAAACACACTGTAAAACGATGGTGAAGAGAAGAAAAACGCAGCGTCAAATATACGACGTATTCCTCGTCGTCGTCGTCGTCGTCGTCGTCGTAGTAGTAGTAGTAGTAGCAGCAGCAGTAGGAGTAGTAGCAGTAGTAGCAGTTGTAGGAGGAGGAGTCGGCAAATTGTGCCCTATGCGTGACTGTATGTTTTCCTTGCATTCGGTTTTGTAGTGGCTCCCTTTTATTGTGCTCACTTCTCTTCTGGCAATGGGTTGGGGGTTGAGCAGGGGGTCAGGGTCCGGTGGGGGTAGGTGTGCAGGGGTGGGTGGTGGTGGTGGCAGCCGGGATGCAGTTGCGGTAGCAGCAGCGGCGGCAGCAACAGCAGGAGGACAAAGAAACAAAAATGCCAACATTTCGTTTGGCCTGCAAAAGGGCGGAACATGGCTAAATTTGGGTCAGATGGAAGGCCAGCAGCAGAAATCCCTCATTGGATGAGGAAATCATCTGCTACTTGAGCCAAATGAGACCGATGGCGGGCTTGTTCTTGATGAAGGTTGGCTTTGAAGAAAACATCCAATTCATTTCTTTCCATGCCATATGCAGGAAAGTTTCTCCACAGCCTTGTGAGAGCAAGGCGCCTGTACCGGCCTTGTCCCGCCATGTAACTCATGTCACAAGCCAACGCCCATAAGCCTCGCAGTGTTCATATGAGTTGTTTTGTCTGTTCTTCGCCTTCCGATTCTTGTCCCAACTCTGATTTTGTCATAGTCTGAGTACTCATCCTCACCGTTCTGATGCTCATGGCGACGATGAAGAGCCAAGACCATACCTGCGCCTATTTCTCTTGCTCACATGATTTTCAGTCCCCATGCAGCTTTTTACACGAAATCCGTCGTGCAATCTGCAGCCAACCTCCCCGCAGTACGCAGGCTAAACGCACACACACACAAACACACACCAATGCAGCCTTAGAGAGCCAGCTAATGCCCCTCTTGTGAAATCATGAAATTAGTTCTGGCCCTGGTTGCCCGCTCAGGGTTGAGAATGAAGACACATCTAGGAGCCAGCCAGCACGTTGGAGGCCATAGAGTCACGAGGTAGGCTTTTCTGTCCTGAGCGCCGGAAGGGCCTCAGTCTCTTCGACCGCTCTGCGGTCTTGGCTCAGTGACCCTTCAGCCGCCGAGCTCTTTGATGTGGCTCTCCAAGATCCATTCTTCCCATGTTTTCTTTGGCACCTTCCTGAGAGCACGAATACAGGCTTGAAGCATGAAGGCAGTCTAGCTTTGGTGTAGGAAATCTTCATCAACCAAGACGGAGAAACAACATGACAGAACTTGACTTGGAGACAAGCCAAAGATGTTGTTTCTGAACTCGGAAGCCGACTTTGACAGATTGTGACAGGACTGTTGTCTGCGCTCTGCACTGCACGGGTTTGCTCTGCAGTGAAGACCGAAGGCATTGCAAGCAACCGAGGCATTGCGAGTCTCCTGGCTACAACACAGCAGCCGCCGACCAGGCAGCCATAGGCAGCCCCATCAGACTCGGAGAGCACGGCTTCTGTCCCCCTGGGCCCCCTTCACAACTTGGAATGCCTCACATCTTGACAACACGTATTAGTGGTCTCCCCAGAAGTCAACGTAATAGACCCTGAACAAACCGTGACTGGGGCATTGGACTAGTACTTGCTACTTACATCGCCTCAACAGAACCTTAACAGCTTCCCAAGTCCGTTGGCTGCATTTGGGTCCCTTGCATAAGCTCTGGCAACTATCTCTGGACAGTTCTCGGCCAAGCATCGGCTTGTATTCCGGGACTTTGATGGGCTTTCGCTTCCAGTCCAGGCCGCTCACGCGCTCATACACACAAGAACTGTCAACCTAGCACGACGGCTTGGGAGCTTCATCGCAGCAGCAGCAGCAGCAGCAGCAGCAGCAGCTGCTGCGACGCAAAAGCAGCAGCAACAGCAAATGCACCAACAGCGACGACAACAGCGACGACGACCACCATAACAATAAGGACAACGAAAAAACAACAAACAATCAACACCACTCGACCACCACCACCGACGCCGCCGCCACCGCCACCGCCACTGCCGCCGCCACCGCCACCGCCGCCACCACCACCGCCACTGCCGCCGCCACCGCCGCCACCGCCATCGCCTCTAGCGCCGCCACCGCCGCCACCACCACCATCCTCCACCACCACCACCACCCCCGCCACCGTCACCCCCACCCCTACCAGCCCCACCGCCCCCACCGCCACCGCCGCCGCCGCTGCCACCACCACCACCACCACCACCACCACCACAAGCAGCAGAAAAAAAACACACACACACACACACAGACACACACATACTGTCACATACTGACTGACCTGTGCAATAGCTCCATGATACTTCACGCGACCTTTCCGCACAGTGGCAAGTGTGCTGGAGTCCTGCCCTTGTGCTGCGGCTACCAGTCACCTCCCTGTTGTGTGTTAAGCAAGTGAACCGTCAAAACAAATGCCACACATCTGCTCTTGTGACCAAGCCTTTGTCCCTCAGTTTTTATGTGTAGCGGTTGAGCTCCATGGCAAAATGCTGACGCAAGAAAGTCAACACAAAAGAGTTGCTCAGCTCTGCATAGAGACGCCCCCACCGCGGAAGACACTGCGTCTGGATTTGCGGCCTTTCATCCACTCTAATTTCATCCAACCTCACGTCCGATTGAACATGAAACCGCGGACCCCTCCCAGCTGAGCAATGCAAGAGCATCTATTTGGCTAATCTTGGCTAACCAAGGAACACTTCTCCTCACAGATGTAGCTCGATTTCCCAAAGTAGACTCCCCTCTCCACCATGTCCGGCGTTACCACTTTTCCTTGGCAGGCGTCAGATGCCATGTAGGCTTCTGAAGACATGCCAGCAAACTTCTCAGGCAAGGGTTCAGACTCAGACAAATGGTAAGCCTTTATGTAAATTGGAAACCTCATGTGGGGGTTGTCCGATATTCCTTCATCTTGAATCGTGGGCTTGCGCCGTGCTTGCGCGGAGCTTGCGCGAGC